CCTAGAAAGAACTTATTAATCAAAACCGCAAATAATGAAATCTGCAAAACTCAAAGCCACAAATGTGGAGGGTCAACTGTAATAAAGTATTAATACCATAGTTCAAGAAGGATATCGATAAGCTGGGACATGTCAAGAGAAGGCTGACCAAGATGATCCAAGGTTTGAAAACCAAGCCTTATGAGGGATGACATAAGGAGCTGGTATGTTTAGGGAGAAGAGAGGTGATGGCATAGCGATCTTAAATTATCTGTAAGGATGATTTTGAGTTCCTGCATGGCAGTGGGTTGGACTGGATGGCCCTTGTGGTCTCTTCCAACTCTATGATTCTATGATTCTATGTCATGTAGAAGATGGAACAAGCTTGTTTTCTGCTGCACCAGAGACTAGCATGAGACTAGTGGATTCAAATGATAAGAAAAGTAATTCCACCTAGATATTAAGGGGAAAAGTCTTGACTATAAGAGCTATTTGACAGTGGAATAGACTGCCTTGGAGGGTGGTCTCTCCTTTTATGGAGGCCATTAAACAGAGGTTGGGAAGGATCTCTCAGGAGTGTTTCAGTTGCGTATTCATGCATGGCAGGGAGTTGGACTAGATGACCCTTGCAATTCCGTCTAAGATTCTGCGATTCTATAATAAACCCAACACATTGGCAGTGCTTCCTGCAGGGCTATACTCACTGGTATTCGGAGAGCTCCTATGAAACTGATGGCCTCCCGATCCTCTGGCAGTTCTTTGATATTTTCCGACACATCGATGATGTTTTCCCTGCTGTGGGTAGAGATGTTGAGGCTTGCATCACTGATGGAATGTCCTGCCTCCAGGCCTTTCTCATCTGAACTGGAAACCTGAGAGAAAACCAAACATCTCAGGAATTCACATGGAGATCTTGCAGAAGACATCTCAACTTATTATAGTAACCTGTCAGAAACATGGAATGCTTCTGTTGGCTAATCTTCAGTTGGAAGGGACCCTGAATGCTTCTACTGGCCTTTAAAGATGCCAAATATAAGCAGTCCTATCCAGTTGATTAGTTTACACAAAGTTGGACCCTCCAGGCAACTGTTCCCATTTCTAGCATACTTTATTTCATTCTCCCAGCCAACCAGCTAGCTATGCCATTTTCATACTACTCCAACCCTCATTTTCTGTTTCTCCATTCTCAAGAGTCAGTCAAAGCAAAAGCAAAGCAGCTTCATTTATATACTGTTTCATATCACACTATGGGATGTCTAAGCAGTTTACAACTGTAAGCTCATTGCCTCCAACAGTTGGGTACTCATTTTAGCGACCTTGGAAGGATGCAGGCCTGAGTCTAGCCTGAGCCCTGGCTAGTATTGAACTCGCAACCTTGTGGTCTATGAGTGAGTGGCTGCAGGACAGGCATTTTTAATGCAACCTCCAGTGTTAGTTCCAAAAGGTATGTCTGCAGACTTTGGGATTCTCTCAAGCCCGCTGACATCTCTCTCTTTCTCTCTCTTGTGTGCTGATAGTATAACTACATAAATATCTAAGTTTGCTATTAGTACATAGTAGGAATGGGGAATATAATGCTCTCCAGATTTATCTGGACTGTAACATCCATGATCCCTCACCAGTGCAATGCTGGCAAAGGTGAATAGGAATTCTAAGAACAAGTCGAGCATGGAAAAGTTACTTTTTTTGGAGTATAAGACCCAGCATCATAAGTCAGCATAGCCATCTTGGAAAAATTACTATTTTGGACTACAGCATCAAGAATCTCCAATGACCATGCTAGTTGGGAGAGCACAAACATGGGGTCTGTTAACTTTTTTTAGACTGCAGATTCTGTGGATTGTTGTCCAAAACTCTGAGAAATTTGAAACTCACATGATGAAGAGGTGGACTGCAGTCAACATCTTCTGGATCTGAAAGAAGGAGATAGCATTAGGAGAGAATGCATTGACTGCAGAGTGAGGTTGCAGCCACACTGGGGGAAGGGGTAGCCAAATGTGCTCTGATCTGGAATTTGTGAACATCAACAGCTGCAATAATAATAATATAACAACAACAACAACAACAACAACAACAACAGTAATGGAATAATATGCAAAGTCATTTGAAAATGTCTTCAACCATTAAAGAACAGAAGGCCTGTCTGTTGGAGGCTGTTGTCTGAAAAGTCACAGGGACAGAGTGAAGATTTATTCAGAGGTAGCTGAGTTGGTCATGTAAGCAAAGTACAGTAACATCCAAAATCCACAAAACAGTGATACCTTTATTCGACCAACCAGAATGCACAAAATATATGATGCAAGCTTTCGAAGTTCCACTGGCTTCTTCATCAGGCAAAAATCATACAGGAGATTTTTTTTAAAATGACAATGTTAATCAAAGGCCTGCTCGCATCATAGAACAACACACCAACACCTTGGAAAAAAATGCAGGCCTGTGACTAACATTGTCCTTTAAAAAAAAAAAATCCAATATGATTTTTAATACCTTTGCCTGAAAAACAAGCCAGTGGAGTTTCAAAAGCTTTCATCGTGTATTTTGTGCATTTTGGTGGGCTGAATAAATGTAGCGATGTTTTGTGGATTTTGGATGTTGTTGTACACTGAGGAGACTGGTTATACTGTTTTTTGCCAATAGGTGGCAGTATGTCTTTATCTGTGTCTGAAAGTTGCAGGTGTATCTGTAGGAATATGCAAGAGCATTTATTGATAAGAGCTCCTCTAAACAAGGCAAACAGGCTGGGAGGTTGCAGTATTGGTTGATGTAGTTCCCAGGATTTTTAAATGTACCCAAATGACATTGTCCCAGAACCACCATATCAGAACCACCCTTTTCTTCTCTTTTCAGTTTTTTTAAAGCATTATAATGCCATGTGCAATGGCACTTTTGCACAATTCCTTTGAAAAGAAAAATTCAGAGGAGAAAATATGCCCTTCAAATCATAGGGCCACATCACAAACCATGTCTAATAATAATAATAATAATAATAATAATAATAATAATACATTTTATTTATACATCACCTCTCCCTGCAGATTGAAGTGGGTTACAACAAATAAGAATTAACAATAAAATACAAATATACAATTAAAATCCACATTTCTAAATAATTCCCTACCCCAACCCCCTCCCAATCATAAAAAGAAACAAACGAAAACCAATGACAATATAAAATGAATAACAATATAAAATACTAATTAAAAGCAGAGGAAATAACAAATTAGCTAAAATTAGAGGTCATTAGAGGCGAAACATCTATCTTTCTTGGTAGATGGGGGACATCAGTATCACTGGAAAAGTTTGCTGGAAGAGACCTGTCTTAGCATTTTTAAAGGCTTCTAGAGTGGTAATGTGATGGATTACATACAATATACAGTCACCCCTCCTTTCTTGCAGCCTTAAAGACCATGGATTTGCATATTCACAGAGGAGCAACCATTCAAGCCTATGGCGCGTGAATGTTCCCAAATCTCCATTTTCCTGGGAGGGTCTGGAATGGATCCCCCACGAAAACGGAGGGCTAACTGTACATCACTTTTAGTATACAATCCTAGTATACAGTCAAGTTGTTGCTTCCAACAGGTCCACCCCATCCCGCCCCCCAGCAAGAATGGACTGAACAGATGTGAAAACAGTAGTGAACAAACCATATCCAAACCCAAAGAGGGACTTCATGAGAACTCATGCTTCTTTGGACCTTCATAAGTTCTATAGGGATCAATCCACATTGGTCCTTAAGTCTCCATGGAGTAAATCCATTAGCCCATGAAGGATGCTAATTATCATGCATAAAGAATCTATACAGTGTTTTCCAAAAGTCTACAGGGTCTGATATTCATATTTAGTTAGTTCCTAAGTTGAGGCAGTTCTGATATTTGTGCTTGGGTCAATTTTTATTGTTATAATTTGACCTAACATGGGTTCCCTGAACCCAGATGTATCCAGGCATTTTCACCAAAAAGCTTCATCAACCTCATACATAATAGGTGCTTGAGGACGATGGGCACTATAGTTCATAAGTTATTTTGGATTTTTGGCTAGCCCCAGGCTGGGAAAAACTGACTTAACACAAGAATGGATATTTAGACTCACCCATACTAGGCACTATTTACTTATCTACAGCATCCCTTATATTTTATTTTTTTTATATCCCGCCCCTCTGCAAAGCCTTCTCTTGCTAAAATCCTGACCCTAAACATGTTTGTTCAGAGGTAAGCCCCACTGCCAAGCTGAAGTATGCTTAAGAGTCTATCTAATGGGCTGAGTTGAAAGTTATTTTTAGAACTTTAACTCAAAGTTTTGGATGTTATGAGTAGGAAAGAAATGTTTTTATAAAACCTCCTTGAGAAATGTTTTTCCCACCTGCTGCCATCCCTTGGTTTATGGTACATGGTGCCAGTCTTGGAATCCATTTGTTTCCTACAAAAGGGCTAGAATGAGGGCAAGAAGCATTGCTCTCCCTCTGAATTGGCTTAAGGACAATATGTCATCTCATCTGAAGCCAAAACCAAATGAGAATAGTAAAGCTTCCTGCCCTCGCTGTGATGTATGGGTTGAAAACCTCTTTCAGACCAAGAGCCAAATTCAGTTTAAGGGGGGAGGTTTTGGGGAGGCCTCGTTGCAATGGGGGATAGGGCCAAAGTTAATGGTGTAGAACCAAAAATAGCAGCATAATTTATCTTATAGCTCTTATTGCCAGTAACTAGGCCGTATGGAAAATGTGTCAATCTTTGAGAATAAGGGGGGAAATGTATAAAACTGGTAAACTATCAGCACTGTCATGGGGAAAAGGTCATGGCTGTGTGGGAAACTGAGGGCCTGATAGCCCCCACTCCTGCTCTTGTCTCTGGTTAATTTGGTTAAAAAGTTGCACTTGTCGAATCTTGCTGCTGTTGTGTGCCTTCAAGTCATTTTCAACTTATGGCAACTCTACAGCAGGGTTTTCTTAGCAAGATTTGTTCAGAGGCTTCCTCTGAGGCTGAGAGTATGTGACTTGCCCAAGGACAACCAGTGGGTTTCCATGGCTGAGCAGGGATTTGACCCCTGGTCTCCAGAGTCATAGTCCAACACGCAAACCACTACACCATGCTGGCTCTCTGTCAAATCCTGATTGTTATTTTGTTCACTTTGTCCTACATTTTGTCCCAGTTCAAACCTGAAATTATCAGATTTATCCCAGCTTTGCAGAATGCTTAGGAAGGAGGGCAGGATCGGGCAAGATCAGGCAACCTTTTTGGCTCAGCACAACTCCCAAGACTCACATTCAATGAGGAACAAGAAGCAGATGACGCCCATGGTGCCTATGATGATCCCAGGCACTATAAAGGACAATCCCCACGCGCTGGAAACCCAAGTGCCAGCAATCAGGGACCCCAAGATATTTCCAACAGATGTGTGTGAGTTCCAGATGCCCATTATGAAGCCTCGTCTGGAAAGAGAAAAAGACAGAAACTGGTAGGAAAGACTTTCTGCTAGGTCAGAAAACATGCTACAGGTTCTAATGGATTATCCAGCCATGGAGTCAAAGGTTGGTGCTAAAATCACTAGTTCTGATACTGGAAGTTACCCTCTGGACTACAACTCCCAGAATCCCTAGCCCACGTGGACAACGGCCATGCTGGCTGGGGATTCTGGAAGATGTAACCACAATTCAACCAGTGGGTGACTAGTTACTTCCATGCTCTGAAGATGCTATATTCTTAATCGGACCATTGTTCCGTTTTCCAGCACAGAGTTATATTTTCTGTTCCAGCAAGGGAATAAATCAGGTACTTCTTCCAGAGATTAAGCAATTGATAATTGAAAGAAAAGCAGGAAAGCCACAAAATACAGATGTTAGGAAATCAGACTCACTTCCCCTTTCCAAACCAGTTGCCGACACATGCCACCACGGATGGCCAACCAGTTGTCTGCACCAAGCCATTGAAGATCTAGGAGAGGGTGAGAGAAGGAAAGAAACAGAGTTAAACTACAGGGCATACTTGTAGGGTCACTGGGGATCTGGGCATGCAATACCTTATCCTTTTATGTACATAACAACCTTCTTAGGTGCGTTAGGCTGAGAGACAATAACTCTGCAGTCAGCCAGGCACCAATGACTCAGAAATCTGCCTCCCTGTAGCTCTACAAAGTAGATGGGCCTAGAAAATACTAGATCCCTGCCCCTCTTACACCCATAAGAACACGCGCTGATACTAGCCACAAAATGCAACAAAATGTTGCAGCATGGAGTGCTTTTGATTCAAAATCCCAGCCACTCCATTCCATTTCCTTGTGCCCTCCTCGAATGCAACAAATCCCCTTTTGCAGCAGAGCTCAGAAGAATTACTTGCATCGATTACAGCTCTCAGAATCCCTTAGCCAGCATGGAGTATATTGTAGCCATGCTGGCTGGGGTTCACGGTAGCCCAGACAGGAAGCTTTTCTGAGCGATGCTTGTACACTAGAGACTATGATCACAATGATTCACTGCAACAGCTCTACAGGCTGCTAGTCCATTCCCAAGCACAATTCAAAGTGCTGGTGATGACTTATCAGGTCCTATACAGCTCAGACCCAAGTTACCTAAAAGACCATTTGTTGGTGTTAACTGCCTTTGCATTGGTCTCGACCCATGGCAACCCTATGGAGGCCCCCCTGTCCTCTACTGCTCTGCCCAGGTCCTGCAAACTCATATTCGTGGTCTCTTTAATAAAGTCCATCCATCTAGCATGTGGCCTTCCTCTCTTTCTACTTTGCTCCAGCTTTCCTAACATTATTGTCTTTTCCAACAATTAATGTCTTCTCATGATGTGTCCAAAGTACAACAGCCTCAGTTTGATCATCTTAGCTTCCAGGGAGGTTTCTGGCTTGATCTGCTTTAGGATCCACTTGTTTATCCTTTTGGCTGTCCATGGGATCCTCAGCACTCTTCTCCAGCACCACATTTCAAATGCAGTGGCTGCCATGCACTTAAATATCCTTATGTAGAATTTTTTTTATCAAATTTGTTAATCTATCTGCTTTCATTAAATCCAACAATTTATCTAGCCATTTTTTAATGGCTGGGGTCTTCTTCTGTTTCCAATATTTGGCATAGATCAATCTATATATTTAATTTTTGCATGATGTGAACTTTCAGCTGTACCCATTTTACATTTTGTAAGCTGCCTTAAGTTCAAGGGCTGGTGAAATGGCAGGATGTAAATAAATAAAATAATAAGAAGGAGAGGAAAAACACAGTAGCAGCAACAACAAGGAATTTGGATCCTTTGGTAACTGGTTAAACACACCCAAATGAGTCACAAAGTCTTCCTCCTTCCTTAATAATTCCCACTGGAGCCAAAGACCTGGAATGTCACAGGAGCTAATCTGAATCAGGGATGCTTCTAGGACACAAAACCTTTTTGCTTTCTCCCTTCCTGCTCCAGATTTCCCCATGATCAAAACTTGTCTAACTGACTGCACAAACCAGTTGGAAACTTTGCTCCATGAATGTGTAGGAAGGAAACATAACCCAGACTTTTTGAAGAGACAGTTTCAAGTGATGGAAGCAGGTAGGAGGAAAATACAATCAGGCAGCTTGCCTAACTAGTTACAAAAATAGTTCCATGTGTTACAACACACTGGCAACCCACATACACAGAGAAGACGCTCTATCCATCCTGCTATTAGAAGGATGGTGCTCATGATGATGACTAAGACACACAGGACTCTTCCCTGTACTCTGCAAAGTATTTGGCCTAGAAAATGATGGAGGAAGTGGGGCACCCAAAAACAGAAGAGGACATGAACTGTGGTGGTTCCCACATCAGTGAGGTGGCAATTCTGCTCTGGATTTCAGGCTGACCTTTAAAGGAGCTATCAAGGGGCTGGACTTAGGGCTTTTGCAGACTGCTAGAAATATTTTTTTCTGAGACATTGAGCCTTCTCTGTCAGAGAGCTCTGGTGCCACAATAAACTACAGTTCCCATGATTCCCTAGCACTGAGTCAGGACAGTTAAAGTGGACTCAACTTGCACTATTTCTGGCAGTCTGCAAAGGCCCTTACTTTGGGGACAGTGATTGTGCCTTTAATATTCAGACTAATATCCAGAATGGATTAACTCCAAGCTCAGGTTTGGACAAGGTCACAAAATAAATTGAGTTTATTGCACGGCACTTTCGGGAACAGGAACTGAACAGAACAGAATGGGGCAAGAACAGAATGGTGGCATTGGCGGCGTTCTCCTGTGCGGTAACTTGTGTTCGTCCCATTCCATGCTGTTCCATTCTGTTCAGTTCCCGTCCCTGAAAGTGCCGTGTGATAAACCTGGAAGACATAGAGTCTGCCATATTGTTGCTGTAAACCTATTACTCTGGGAAGCTAAGGATTTTCTCTTTCTCTGCTACTTCAAAGAGCTGCATATCACCCACCCATTTTAGGTTGATGTCCTTTACCACCGAAAATTGTTTTTGGTGATACAGAAAGGAATGCATACACTTGAACATGATCTGTGGTTTAAAAGAATCTTAGACTACCCTCCTTTCCTCCTCCTTTTGAATCATCCTGTTGTTGAGAGAAGGATGCACTGTTTTTTGTAAATATATTTACAATTGTTATTAAAATTAATTTTAATCAAGTCAACTGACTAGTTTTAGCAAAAAGGCTTGTGAAACTGTACAGTCTGTTTTGGAATGAGCTTTCATGCAACTTGCCCATTTCATCAAAATGCTGTCCACAAAAGCATCTGTCATAAGAAATTTGTTAGGCCATGAGGAATTTGCAGCCCTCTAGATGTTGCTGGTCTCTGTCAACCCCAGCCAGCATGAATGGCTAGGAATGATGGAAGTTACAGTCTGAGAATGTCTGTAGGGCTACAAGTTCTTTTGTAGATAAACCAAATGCACAGACAGCAGAAACCATGGGGGACAAATGCATCAGCAGCATACAATGGAGTTAAGTCTGTGGAACCTTTCATGTATTTCTCAAACAGAGCATGGAAGGGGGGGGTAATCAATCAATCATCATCATCATCATCTCACCCTGTTCCAAAAATTGGAGCTTCCAAATTACTGTCACCCCTCCATATTGGTGTGCAAGCCATCTGCGGGTGGCTCTGTCTCATTATTGTCAATGGTGGTGCATGCACACAGTCACGCAGACATGGCCATGTGCACGTTGACATCCCTTAACAATAATGGGAATTGAGGACCCTGCATTTTTTGGTATCTGCAGGGAAGTCCAGAAACAAATCCCCACCAATTCAGATGTTTCGATAGTTAAAAAAATGTTGTTGTTAACTGTCCCCAAATCGACCACCCATGGTGACCCTGTGCATGAGACACCTCCAAGAGCCCCTATCTTTCACTTCATTACTTAGTTCCTGCAATCCCATTCCCGTATCCCCCCTGATTGAGTCCTATCCATCTGGTCTGTGGTCTTCCTCTCATTCTTCTGCCCTCTACTTTTCCTAGCAGTATTACCTTTTCCAGTGATCCAAGCCTTCTCATTACATACAAAAGTCAATATTAAAAGTGATTTACAATGTTAAAGGGAATCTGTGTGGTGGAGTGGTTTGAGTGTGGGACTACAACTCTAGAGACCAGGATTCAAAGCCCTGTTTGGCCATGGAAACCCACTGGGTGACCTTGGGCAAGTCCCACTCTCTCAACCTCAGAGGAAGGCAATGACACACCTCCTCTGAACAAATCTTGCCAAGAAAACTCCATGATAGGTTCACCTTAATATATATATATATATATATATATATATATATAGCATTATAAGCAGTTAAAACAGTGCAGTTTAAGACAATACAGCACTCTTAAAAGCCCTTTATTTTGGAAGACTTTAAAATGAATTCTAAAAGCCTGTGTGAATAAAAAGTCTTTGCTTGTCTGTGGAAAGATAGCAAGGAGAAGGTCACTCTAGCCACCCTCAAGAGAGACTAATTGCACATGTGAATGTGATGGGAAATAAATAAGGACCTCTCCTGAGGATCTCAAGACCCAGGGAGACTCATACATGGAAATACGATGTGTCAGAGCCTGGATGCATAGCACTTTATAGGTCATAATCAGAACTTTAACCCACTATTATTGATTCTAACAGGCAGAAGCTCTCCAGGGTTGC